AAACCTGCGAGCTTTGAGAAGCATCAGGACCCTTCTACTCAACCCTTGCCTGCAAAGACTAGCACAGGGTTTAGACTTCATTTCTTCCCAGCCAAGAAATCCCACACATTTACTGGTATGTTTGATTCCCACAGCCCTGCAAGGGCTGGGACACGAGCCAGCCCCGAAGGCAGGGCCGAGACCCCTGAAAAACTCACAGCTCCACCAAACGCCTTCAATCTCAGCAAGGAAGAGACTGATTTACAACCAATTTGTTTCACTGCCTATTGATTTATAAAATAAGCTTGTACACGGTCACTGTGGCTCTGTTGCTCTCTTTGGCCAGAAGTAGCTCTCAATGCAGTCAAAGGAAAGACTTGTATTGCTCCTGAACAGAAGATAAATTAGGGCCTTCAGCAATTGTTGGTATAAACTTGCTGGTCTTTAAAATAAATATATAAATAAATAAATAAGAGCTGTTTAATCCTGCTGGAAGGATCCTGGAAGTGATGCAAAGCCAATTCTCCAGCAGCATTTCCATAAAGCCCCTCCACCCGGCATGCTGAGGAGCTGAGAGCACTGCACAAACTTGCAAAGCCGATCATTAAATCAGAGGTTTGAAGCAGCCACACTCTCCATCACACACTGCTCACAGGAAAACAGTTTATTCAAAGCCCTTGATCCTCAGCCAGCTCACAACCTAAGGGGCACATTGGCCTCTCCCCCCCCCTTTATTTACAGCTACAAAAGAAAGAAGAGCACTGAGCTTTTTTATCCTGACATTTGCAGTCCAACTACAGAGAGGCTGGGAGCTGGTGGCACGTGGTGCTGGGAACCTGTCAGGAATTTCTGGGCACGTTTCTACTCCAGTTGGTGTCCCCTAAAACCACAGGAAAGCACGGAGTAATCGACATCTGCCCGAGATGTGCTGTGCATAAACTGCCCGGGCACCTCTGCCCGACCTTGGGCAGGGGGGGAGGCTGCTGGGGATGCAGGAGGAACAGCTGCCCTGCTCTCCTCCCTCTGGCAAAGGGCACCTGGACGAGCCCCCAGCTCCTCCCTCTTGTTCTTTTCAAAGAGCTGAAACCTCGCAAGAAATGTGGTTTGAGCAGAGTCATCTGTGGCTCTCGCTGCGGGAGGTACAGGTGGGAGATGAAGGAGCAAGAGAAACCTAAATTGTGTTAAAACAGGCCTTGGAGGAGGCAATCCTGCTCTGTTCCTCTGGGATAGCACAGGCTGCACAACACCAGCTCTAACCCGAGGCTCATTTCAGCTTCCCTCACGTGCAGCCCAGTTGTGAACACATTGCCCCTGCCAAACCTGCACTGCCTCACAAAGCACCTCCCCAAACCTTTACTGTCTTCATTCGACCATTTCCAGTTCACAGAATCATAGAATATCGTCATTTGCAATGCCCTGGGCTCCAGGAGCTCTTCCTTGGTTAATTTTTAAAGCCCATTGGTGCTTTCACTCCCTGTGCTTCCCGAACAGCTCCCCAGCACTGACACCCTCCTGGGTTTAGGAACCAGCCCAGTGCCCTTCCCTTGCAAAGCTGCTCTTCTCTCTACATGGCAGGAGGAATTCACTTGGAGGAGGGATCACAATCACAGATTTCCAGGCTTCTCATTAACAGGCTGGTGGTTGACAGACACAGAGATCACCAAGTGCCCCTTGCAGCCACCAGCACCCCACAATCTCACCTTCTTGCTCCCTGTCACCCAGTAACACCCCCCAACACCTCCAAGTCCTCTTCTCCTGGTCCTAACCAGTGTTGGTGGGTGGAACTGGCCTGGTTTCCCTCATCACCATAATTCCACCCTTCTGCACCTGGGGGCTGATGACAAGCCAGTGGGAAGTTGAGCCACTGCTGCTGATAACGGGCCCCTCTGACAGAAGATTGCAAAGCATTTGCTTCCAGGGAGGAACCAAGTGAACTGTGAAGGAGAAAAACATACCCTGCAACACCCAGAGAACTCGGTATTCATCACCCTGAGGGAAAGCAAACATGCCTTTGGAAAGAGAGCCCCAGACAGGCAGAAATCTTCCCATCCAAGGTAAATTTCAGATCCTGCCAAATCCAGCTGGGTTGGTACAGCACAGGCCAGCCGGAGGAGGAGGTGGCTGTAGGTGCATCTTCAGTGGTGCTCCTCCCCACAGCCAGGACACCTTCCCCAGTGGCTTCCAGCCTCCCCCAGTTTGGCTGGCACTGGAGCAGAGGAGAGGAGGGTGAGCTTTGTCACCAGGCAGAAGTAAAGGCAGCATCAACTGCTGCCCCCACCAAGGGGCACCCACAGCTTTGTCTCCGGGAGGCAAATTGTGCCGTGCCTTTCTCCCCCCTTCCCCCAGCTCTTGGTCCCACAGCTCTCTGAGGGTGGGAGGGGGAAAAGCAGCCCTGAAACACTGACCTAGTGATTTCCACAAAGAGAAAGCACAGGCTCCTGCAGACCATTTGCGAGGCAGAGAGACAGAGGTGCTCAAGGGAAGGCACTTTGTTCCCTCAGGAAGGGGCTGTGGGAGGAATGGTCCTCCAGGCTGAGCCTCTGTGTGCCCAGGGGCAGCTCAGCCCCGAACAGGAGCAACAAGCAGCTTCCTGCTCCTCCACTGGGAGCCCACATTCCAGGCTGCATGGTTTGCAGGAACAGCAGGGTACCAGGATGCCCAGGAAGTGCAAACCCAAGGGCACAGTTGTACAGACCCAGTGATGGAAAATGCCCTTTTGGTGAGGCTTTGGATAAGGAGCTTTTTTTTTTTAAACTGGTGTCCAGCCTGCAGATCCCAAGCTAGGTTTCCAGCAGAGGTGATCCTCCCATCTCTGCTGCCCTTGGCTCGGGGGAGTTTAATTCTGGCAAATCCCTTGAAGCCCCTTTGGCAAGAAAACTCAGCCCTGCCTGCTCCCTGCCCACAAAAAGCAGGGACTGAAACTCCTGAAGGGCAGAGCCAAGTGACTTCAGTTGTTCCTCCCACAGAGTTTTGGCCCACCAGCTGACTCCAGGGCAAGGCACTACTGCTCTCTGCGTGCACACACATCACCCACCCCATCCGCACAGCCTTGGGGGCACCTCTGCACATGGACACCAATGCCACCACATCTGGCCACCCCACAGCCGGCTGCTCCAGGGCAGGCAAACGCAACACATGCTGGAAAATCAGCTTCAGTACCTACATCCAGGCCTTTCCTCCCCCAGAGCACGGCGTGGCTTAAGGAATCCTGTGCATTAAATCCCGTTAGGGATCCTTTGCACGGTTTCGCCCCAGCGGGAAAAGCCACGGCGCTGGTGCCGGCAGCCCCTTTCTTATGCACCGAGAGCAGCAACTCCATAGAAATGCACTTGGCTCATCCTGCTGGAGGAAACAGCCGAGAAAACGCTCTGCAAGGCGCTGTCTGCGCCTCGGAACCCGGCATGAATAAGCTGCACACTCCTGACGGTGCAGGCAGCAGACACAGCAGCCCAGGAGCCGCCGCGGCTCCCGGAGCCCAGCGCTGGCTAAAAAAGTGAATTAGCCCTTCTTAAAATAACGGCTGCGAAAGAGGAAGGGGGGAAGGGGGGGTTGGAACCAAACGAATCCCTGCTGCATCCCAGACACCAACTTCCCCGCTAGGAAAATGCCATTTGACCTGCAGGGAGGGACCGGGTGCGTGGGAGCAGGGAGGGATGTGGAGGCCCCGGGAGCAGCTCCCGAGCGCTGCTCTCCCCGGCCCCGCCGTACCGGCGACAGTTCGAGTTTGTTCAGCCAGAAACCTCCGCGGAGGACACTGTGGGTTTCTTTTGTGCAGAAGCAAAGGCGAATGCAAACACAGCTTTCTCCCTGAAGGAATATTAGTACAAGCAGAAGAGCGAAGGGAAGAGGAAAGGGGAAGGGAGGACAGCGTGGGAGCCCAGCATCACATCCGAGCCTGGGAAAAGAAGAGGGAAGGAGAAGCAGAAGCGCAGCCACCTCCAAACACGGCGTCCCTGCTCGGGGAATAGGGCGAAACACAGCGTATGGTGGGGGATGTTCACCAATAATGTCTGGCTGAGCAAAAAACCAGCTGCCCGTGGAGAAGCACTACTCTCTCCAAAAGTTTTATCCTTCATTTAATCAACAGATGGACTGGCTGCGTGGGTTTGGGGTTTTTTTATCCCTTTTTTTTTTTTTTTTTAAAGCATCCCCAAGCCGTACCCTCACAAAAGCTGGCGTGGGGACCACGGCGGCGTGACACAGATGGTGTTTGACACCGGCGTTGGGAGGGGATGAGCAGCAGAGGGGCGAAGCCGGGGTCTGGCTGCAGCTCAGCGTCCTCCACAGGTGACAGACAGCCCAGGGATCGGGAACACGGCAGCGCGTCAAACCCGGCTTCCCCAAACGAGCCCTCCTCCTCAAATCCACCTCTAGGTGTTTTGGGGGTTTTTTTTGAGGGGGGGAATCAATCAGGTTGTAAAGTTGCAGGGCGGATTCCCACACTCCTGCCTCCCTCCCGCGTGCTGGGGAGGTGGGACCCGGCTGTGCCACCCCCGCGGGGTGCCCACCTCCCCCGGGCTGGCTGCACTGGCAGCAACTCTTCTTCCCCTCACCTCCCCAGGAGCAAATCGCTCCCCGGCCCGGCTGCACACCCGCAGGCTTCCGTGCCCGCGCTGGAGCCGCTGCCGCCGGTCCGAGCGGCTCCTCCGCTGCCCACCGACATGGAGCATCCATCGCCCCCCGCACCGGGGGAAGCGCCGGGGGCCGAGGGGGTGACTGTTGCTCAGCAAAGCCGTGTTCACACACAAACACCACCTCATTAACGGAGCCGGAGCAGCAGCACGCATTTGCATGCTGAAGATTTTGCCTTTTTTTTTTTTTTTCTTGAGAAAAAAAGGTAAGCTGCCTCGCCGGGAGATGCACGAAAAACTCTGCAATCCTCCCCGTCTCCCCCCCACCATCACCACCGCCCTCCTCCCCTCGCCAAAACCACGCGCGGCCCCCGCACCCCACCGCGACCCCCCGACCCGGGGGGACCCCCGCGCTCCTCTCGGCAACTCCGGCGCGGCGCCGGCTCCTACCGTGGCTGAGCAGGAGGCAGCCGAGCAGGAGGAGGAGGAGGTCTGCCTGGAAAGCGCTCATTCCTCAGGGTGGGCTCGGCGCCGGGGGTCGGGGGGCTCCGCTGCCGCTGCCGGCGGGGGCTTCAGGCCGCCGCCCGCCGGCTCCGCTCGCCCGGCTCCGGCTCCATCGCCGCCCCCCCAGCTCCTCCCTCCCTCCCCCGGCAGCGCTGCCTTCACTGGCGGAGCCTCGGCGGCGCAGCCCGGCTTTTGGAGAGGGAGGGGGGGAGAAAGGGGAGGGAGGGAAAGTGATGGGGAAGGGGGAGTAACTTGCGCGCAGCCGGGGGACGGCGATGGCTCAGCCCGCTGGGTGGGGGTGGATTTGTACAAGCCCCTTCCCCCAACACACACCAGAGGTTGGTGCGCGGCCAGAGAGGGTGCAGGGGGTTAAGGTGGGATGAGGGGATTGGAGCTGCTCCTACCTCAGTTGCAGGGAAGGAAGGGATGCTCCCCCTTTCCCCCCTCCCGGTGCTGCCCCCACCCCAAGGGGGAACATAAAGCAGGAGCGAAAACACTTGCGTGGCTTTACCTCCCCCCCCCCCATCTCTAAATTTGGAGGAGGTGCTGCCCATCAACCACGGCACCTCTGGACCCCTCCCCACCCGCCTTCAGAGCACCCCGTGCTTTCCTGGGGTGGGGCTGAAAGGGGAGGGGGGTGGCAGCCAGAGCCTTACCCTGAATACCCCCAAAATCCCGGGAAAAGGTGGGGAGAATAAAAAATAACGTGCCTCCCCGGGATAAGTTGCACCTTCACACAAATCCAGAGGGAGCTGGAGATGGGGGGCTCTAGGAGACACCCTCGTTTTCCCCAGGAGGGGGGCAGTGGCTCCTCACACCTCCATAAAATCCCACATCGGAGTTGGGAGTGAAAAAAACCCCACACAAACCCTAAAAACCCCCAAAATAAAGGTTTAGTGGTGGGACCCTTTGCAAACGCTTCCCTCTGCCATTTTGCAGGGCTGAGGCATCCCTTGAGAAGGCAGGGGGCAAAAGGGCCTTTTCTCCACTTTAATCACCATTTGTATCCTTTTTGGGGTATTTTCTTTCTTTCTTTCACTTCATTTTTACCCAGTGAGAGTTTGGGGGCAGAGCAGAGGTGTCCAAAAATCAAAATAAAGCAATGAAATCATTGCTTACCACAACACTTCTCACGGCCACAGGGGCCAGAGCCTCCCTCCCTCATCACCGACTCTGAGGGGCACGTGGGGATGGCTGAGCTCAATGATTAAACCAAAATTAGAAAGTAATTACAGCTGTGGACTCCAGATACCGAAAGGTGAACTTAAAAAAATAGGCTGCACAGCTTTTCCTGCTGCTTTGGGGGCTCCCTTTTGCCTCGGCGGGGCCACAGCTGCACGTGGCTACTAAACTACGACTACCAGCCCTGGTTTAGCCAAGGAAAAAAAAGGATAACTTTCCAAAATACACTCGTGCTAACAAGCTGAAGTGATGCCAGGTGGGTTAAACCTGGCTTAGGAGCAGCGGTGAGCTGAGTTTTATTGATTGAAACCCAAGCATCGCACGCAGGCTCCGCTCTCGGCGGAGGAGTGTAGTCACCCTGGAAATAAAGAGCTTTTATTATTATTTTTAGCTGGCATCCCTTAGGAAATAAGCCTGATTTGATTTTTGTCCATGGATGCAGGTTTGCTCATCCCTACCTGCTGATGTTCCTGCGAGGAAAAGGTGTCAAAGTGGGGCTGAATCCTGGGAACTGTCCTAACCCTCGTGTTTCCTCGCTAAGGGACAGTGGCACTCCTGGGGGGTATTTTCCAGCAACATATCCTTCCCCTCCAAGCCTTGGAGGGGTTCTGGCAGTGGCCCCGACCCCAGGGATGTTCCCATGCCTGCCCTGCCGGGCAGGTTACAGGTGGTGTATTTTTCCTGGCGGCAGTGCTGATTTAAATGCGTGTGGAATAAAATGCTCCCTGCCTGATTTCAGTGGGAATTAGATTTCTAAATAATTCCCAGACTCTCCCTGTTGTGTTTCAGTTTATTCTGCAAAATGTTGTTTGCTTGCAGACTAGGGGTACTAATGTATATTAAGGCTGCTACACGAGTCAGGCTTTCCTGTGAAGCTTCAAAACACCATTAACATTTGCATGGCAATTTCTTCTCTTCCTTTCACAAAAAAATATTATTCCTTGCCTGCCTTAAACCTGCAGAATTTGGAACTTCCAGTAATGGAGAATATTTTTTTCTCTTTTTTTTTTTTATTTTCTCCCCCTCTTTCTCCTTCCCAGTGAAAACATTTCAGCTGGAAAATTCTCATCATTGCAACACTGACCTTTGCAAAGGGCTTTAAATCCTTGAGTGGAAGTAGCATGTAAGTGCAAAGTTTTATTAACTGATTACCTCTGTGGTTTCGACTACATTGGTAGTCAAATTTGATTTAGAGGACTAGGCAGGGGAAAAAAAAATCAGGTTTCTGACATAATTTTGGCTTTGCTGCAGCCTGAGCATCGTCCTGCAAGAGCAGCTTCCCTCCACCTGCTCAATTCCAGCAGACCAACTCAAGTGCAAACTGATTATTAGATGCTCTTCTCGGATATCTCATTTAAATCTGCTCTGCTTTGTGGAAGGAAATGAATCATTGCAATTAAAGAGCTGAGAAAATCACGGGGCTGGGTGAGACGGCCCGTGGGGAGGAATATCAGCCACTGCCGGGCGGATCTGCCCCCGGCGCCGAGACAGGGCTGGGTTTGCAGGTGGGAACCTCCCACTGGGTCCCTTTGCACCCCCTGCCCCCACCCCTTGGCTTCAGCGGGACCATATCCGTGTCTCCCCGTGGAATTTGGGGTTGCACACCTGCCCCGTGTGGCAAGGAGCAGTTTGAGGAGCTGGGGAGAGCAGATGCTAAAACCCCTCCCTTCCCTCTGAACCTCAGCGGGGTTAAACCAGGTACATTCCTTTTTTTTTTTTTTTTTTTTTTTTCATATTCCACATTGACAAGTGCATTAGATATGAAACACCACAGCAATGAAAGCCCAGACTTTCCTCGTGCCTTTGACTCTCTTACTTCCAGGCTATTTACTGAGAGGTATTTACAGGGAAGTGCAAGAAACAAAATGTTCTGAAAGGCTGCAGCAAAATGGAAGGGGAAAAAAAAATCGAGAATAATATAAAACATGTAAGCAGCTTGATCAAAATGAAGCAATATTGACAGAAAATGGAGTTTTAAGCAGCAGGACAACAGCAACTCAGATGGATTTCATTCCTGTGGTATTACGAGCTAAGCCAAGCACCTGGAAGGGAGAGAGAGAGGAAAATAATCACACGTTTCCCTGCTTCATAAAATCTTTTCCTTGTCATTTAAAAATGCATATGACAAGTGAAAGCTGTACAGGGTCCTGCTGTAAAAACACAGAGCTGGCGCTGCGAGGTTTTCCCTGCTCCTGCTGCAGAGCTTCGCCCGTGGCCTTGGGGCATCCAAAAATGCCTCCTGCTCGCCTTCCTCACCTGTTGGCAACACCAAGGCTTCAAAGCATGAGCTGTCTCCTAACTGGAAAGCAATTTGTTTGGATAATGGGATGGAGGAAGGAGCAGTTGTCCCTCCCTATAATCCAGCTCTGTGGGACCTCACTGCAGGTCTGGGGCCGGGAGGTCTCATGGAGATGCCAAGGGATATCCTTGGAGATGGCAGGATGCAGTGAAGCCATTTTGAGGTTTTGGGGAGATATTTGTTTTTCCCACCAGCAAACTGGGGGTGTTGGGGCAGGAGGCTGATGTCCCAGGTGGTCACCACCTTCCTGGGATGCTCTTGGAGAGGTCAGGAAAGACTAGGACGTTTGTTTTTTTTTTGGCCCCAGGTTGGCACGGCTGCCACTGCTTTTCCCTGCTGAAGTGAAGGCAGCTGCCTTCCAAAATCCCCCAGTGCCGCCAACTCCTCTGCCTGGGGCACGAGGGGGTGGGAGTGTCCCAGCTCTCACAGCTTCCCAGTGCAACCCTAGCCAAAAATGCCAGTCCCTTTCCACATCTCCCACCGGATCCTCTTTGAAAGCAGCCCTGGCCGAGGCCAGGGAAGCAGATCGGGGGGGAGGGCCTGGGCTCTCTTTCTCCTTGTCTCCTTTCTCTCCCAGCTCCATGGACAGCTGCCAAAACCCCTCAGCTTGTGGCACTTGATAAAGCTCTTGGACAGCAGGTCTGGGAGCAATATGGGCAGAGATAGGCAGGGCCTGGGAACAGCCACGGCGAGGGGAGAAAGAAGCTTTGAGGGTCAAAAGCAAAAAAATAAAAGCGCTCTGATGACATTTTGGGTTCAGGTGGGGATGGCTTGGCTTTCTATGCCAACCTGGCATCCCCTTGGCCTTAGGGGAGCCAGTGGGAGCAGCCCCTGGGAAGGCTGAAGCCGGGTGTCAGGGAGCAGACACCTCTCTGACTGCATCACCACTGCTGAGTGATGCCCTCAAGCCAATCCCCCCTGCCCCGACGTGGGATGAGGCAAAGGGACCTGGAGGTCCTGGGTGAGGGCTAATTGAACACGGGATGGAGTCAGCAGTGCCCTGGCAGCCCAGAGTCCTGGGGGGCATCAGGCAAAGCATTGCCAGGTGAGGGAGGGGATTGTCCTGCTCTGCTCTGACCTGGGGTGGCCTCAACTGGAGCACTGGGGCAGTTTGGGCAACAAAGATCCCTTTGGAGAGAGTCCAAAGGAGGGGCACAAAGATGGTGAAGGGTCTGGAGGGACCAAACGAGAAGGGGCTGAGGGCACTTGGCACTTCAGTCTGGAGAGGAGGAGACTGAGGGGAGACTCTTCAGGGGCTGCAGCTCCTGCCGAGGGGCAGCTCCAATCTCTGCTCTGGGGGGACCAGGGACAGCCCCCAGGGAATGGCTGGAGCTGTGTCAGGGCAGGCTCAGGGTGGATCTCAGGGAAAGGTTCTTCCCCCAGAGGGTGGTTGGCACTGAACAGGCTCCCCAGGGCAGTGGGCACAGCCCCAAGGCTGCCAGAGTGACCGAGTGGGGTTGTTGGGGGGTGTATGCAGGGCCAGGGGTTGGACTTGATCCCTGTGGGTCCCTTCCAACTCAGGATATTCTGAGATCCATGAATTCCTCCCATGGTTTCCCCCCCACCCTGCCCAGCGCTCACACCCAGGGGCCCCGTGATGGGTCGAGGGTGCAAAGGCGACCAAGCCCCACCATCGGCTGGGTCCTCACCAGGCCCTTCCCACCTTCA